AAATTGCATTTCCTCGCAATGTGTCTATTCCTTGACGTTATCTTTAAACACTTCGACCAGTCTATCACCACTTTACTGTCTGTTCGCAATTGTTTTGGAGTTTTCATTGAGTCTGGAAAACCCAATTCAGATACCATCTCTGCCAGCCAGCGATTTCACAAATTGCTTTGCTAACTCCTATCAATTCTGTACAATTCAATCTCCTACCAATCCTATCAATTCTGTACAATTGTGTACAATCAATTCTGTACAATTCTGTCAAACATTGTTGGTAGTGCTGTAATTATTTTCGAATTGCAGCGTATTAAAGTTTTTTTCAATTTCGTAGTACATCCTTCAACAGATAGTGCTCCAACTTGCATCTGAACTTAATTCCAACCAACCTTTTTCTATATATATATACTTAACGTGAAGTTTTTTGTTCCTTTCAAATATCTCATTCTGCTTTAATATATTTAGAGCTGCATAATGCACGTTTGTGCTCGTCTTTTGAATTCTAAGACATTCTGTTATATACGGACAAATGCCAATTCAGACCGCGATCCGGTTACTAAATATCCAATACTTTCTAGTATATTTCGATATACTTTTATATTCATTTTCTTCGAGTTTTCGTAATATTTTAGCTTCGACCGAACCATTCCTGGTGAATTTACCTGGAACAACTACTCCTGATGAGTGGAACATTCTCTCATCCTGAATTCGTCTAATATTTTCTCTGTGTACTTCGTTTGATTTAACAGGAATCCATTTTTATCCCTAAAATATTATATAATTTTTCTACTTATTTAATTGTTAGATATTTTTCTATCTTCGGTATCAATTCTTCCACAATTTTTTCATTCGTGCCTGTTATGTTTCAATCGTCCACATAAAAAGCAATCGCTAAGAAATCTTTACTGTCTTCATTTATGAAAAAATATGGATCTCCTTTTCAAGACTTAAGACCACATTGAAGTAATATTTGACAAAATTTGTCATACTAGCACCTTCCAGCTTCTGGTAAACTGTACACTTTTTTTTTAATATCAAAACTCTACCGCTTCCTATATGCAGTCCTTTAGGCGGTTTCATGTGCATTACTGTGTCTAATATACCATTATAGTATGCAGAGTCGACGTTGATATGTCTAACCTCATAATTTCTATTGCTGCTAATGACAGGAGTGTTCTGAATGTCTCCATTCTCATTACTGAACTCGAACACTAATCTAGAAATCTCTTTCCGCTACATACCTAGATCCATCCACTACTAATCTAGCTTTAATTTTAAACACTTCTGCAGTCATTTTCTTCTGATACACCCATTTACTTCTTAAAATATTGTCCGTTTCCGGCGTCATAACCTCCTTCCTACTCCTGTATTTCTTCAAATTATCTAATTCATTATTCACCACTTCTTTCCACTTTGCAGCATCCATTGATCCAATCGCTTCTTGATAGTTTCTTCGGTTCTCTTATCTCACCATATTCGCTGAGTATCTCTATATCGATTTCTTGATCGTAGTTGATCTTTAATTTACTTCACCACTATCTTCAATGACATTTAATTCATTTTCCACAACCCTCAAATCAATTTGTTTTTGTTCACATTTATCCTTTTCTTCTATACGTTCATAAGAAATATCATTAATTTGCAATGTATTTGTTATCTCTATTTAAATTATTTCCTAGTTCACTCTTTAATTGATTTTAATTCGATACCGGACTATACTCGATATCATATGATGCGATTTGCTTAGATGCATTTTTTTCCGTTTTCATTTTCTAAGAAAATAATATTTCTAGTTTCTTCCGAAAAAATTATCGGAAAAACAATACGCCCGTTTGTTCCTTGAATATTGAATAACTATTCCAAGTCTTGATCTATTATGAAATTTGTTTCTATTTATATTTTCATCTCTATATAATACCTTGCATCCAAAAACATTTAATTGTTTCACTATCGGATTTTGCCCATTCCATATTTCCGTAGGTACCTTTTATCTCTTTCTCTCTCAAAACCCTTCGGAAGTCCTTCATCTACTAACAAAGTCCTTGTCATTTCAATAATTGTCCTATTTGCCCTTTCTGCAATTCCATTACTTTGAGGCGAATGTATAGTTGTTCTTTCACATTTAATATTTTACTTTTATTATATTGTATTAATGATTTATTTATAAATTCAGAGCCGTTATCAGAATGAACACAGCACACCCGTCGAGATGTTTAATTTTCTCTTCTCTCTACAAACTCTTTGATTTTAACAGCACATTCATTTTTTTTATTTAAAAAAATCAACATTATATCTTTTTCGTCTAATTTCGGTTCTCCGTTTATAATATCTTCATATAAATGTTTCGACTTGATGAGTGCACTTATTCTTAGGCTCTACGCTTTATAATTGAAAATTGTTAACATTTCAATTTTCGCATATGTTCCTTAAGCCATTATTTTAATTCACTTTCGTATTTTCTACACAACCACGCACTGCTACCGGAATTGTTATTGTTCATACTTGTTAGACTACTGCCAAATGAAGTTCTCATTACTTAATACGAGGTGTCTGTGGTATATGGAGTCCGTTATGATGACGAGAAATTACAGATACGCGATAAACAGGAATCAGAAGGCCGAGGAGAATAGCCTTAAGGCTAGTGAGAGACAAAACGTGTAGTTTTGAGAATTTTGTTTAAAAATGCCAGACAATGTTCGAAAGGATTACTGGAATGTATACTTGGTCTTACTGAACTCTGGTAGAATACATAGCACAAAAGCACAATGTTGTGTTTTACAATCTGTTTTTTTTTACTATAAATGTTCTGTTTGATAAGAAATAAGTAGGTAGAGAGATACAAGAGATAATAAAATGAAAGTAGTATGTAATAGGTATGTCTAGCCCCAATCCTCTGGAATATTTTGTCCTCTCATTCTGCGATAGGTGTGATATCCACGTCAGCGGGCTGCACCACGTGTATATGGATTTATGGCAAGAAAAATCTTCCTTTGTCTCCGACTAAGAAATGTCGGTAGTGAGAATCGTTCACTGCTCTCATGTTCATATATTTTTTTTTTACCTTACAAATCGACCAAGCTTCAGCGATGTTCTGCTGTAGCTTCTGCCTGATAACACAGGACATTTCAGACAAATCACTGTTTCCGCCTGCAGAATATTTCGACTATTCTTGGTAAATGTATCACATCCACAAAAGCCCAAAGGAAAACCATATGTTCTCGGTCGTATTTGAATGATTTTGATGAATGGGACTGTCCTTTTTTATAAATAAATGTTTTGTTAAGAAGCTAGATATTTTAGGAAGATCAATAGATTCACAACTTCTTTTATAATTGTAACACTATGGCTACCTCTTGGATATTCTGAATGGTGGAACCGCAATAAGCACTCAGAAGTTGGTTTGAAAAAAATACTTTCTAGGCAAAAATTTGCATTGCAAAACCATATAAACACTTCAAAAGCATGTAAATTATTTATTTACGAAAGAAATGAATATATTTGTTTACAAAGAAAAAATATCTCAGAAATAAGAAAACAATTGACTTATGTAAAATTGGGTGCTTTTTTATTCCTGTGTTAATTTTTCTTTGTGAAGAAATACATTATTTTCTTTCGTAAATTAATAGTAGTTGGGGTAATAAGAGACACGTTTTGTTTTTTCAATATGAATCATTACGAATTGTTCCTATGAACAAGTGTGTGCTTTTATATCACGGATTAGTTCTTAGGCTTGTGTTTTCACCACAAAAAGTAATAAAAAATCACTAAAACTCTCTCAAATATCGAATTTCTAAACATTTGCATTTGATCCCCATTACCCTTACATGCGGGTAATGGGAGTTACTGAAGAAATACGAACCAAAATGAACATATTAGTACTTCAAACAGTATTTATTTTGTGTAGAATAATTGTAGGTGTCTAAAGTAATGTGGCTCTCAAGGTTGTCTAAGATCAGCACCGGGCCCTGGGCAGGTGGTCAAGTAAGGCTTTTAAAGAGTTTGAGCCATTCCATGAATTCTTCATCCGTCCAGCCATTCTTGCTACATGTGTAAATAGCACCATGGGGCCATTTAAACTCATTCAGATCAATAAATTATTTTGTTTGGGACAATGGTATTCATGCAGCAATAATGAGAACCACTGACCAACATTACCCCACAAGCTCATTTTCAACTGTTTAGCAACTATCTTTCAGATGCTCTTCGGATCATTGTTGACGTCTGGCCCAGGCGCTTTTCTAGTTTTAATATTTTTAAGAGCTCTCTTTCATTCGTCCAGTGTTATTGAGTCAACGATTTCTTTCGTAAAAGCATTTTGCCCTTCTTGCTTCTGCTCACTCGTCCATAGACCATACCGTGGACGCATTCTCGAGCATTGCTATAAGGTACGAGACACGCCGGAGGCATCGTCGTCCTGCATCCCTAAAAGAGCAATGCCTTTCTCTGCAAACTTTTTACTTCCAATGAGAAATGCAAATTATAATGTAACTTGTTAAAATTAAATAATACTAATCATGATACATTGTTGTTTTTACGCATTTTGCTTCGTATTTTTTTAATCAGCTGAGCAGCTACAGTATGTGTGTGTGTGTGTGTGTGTATTAAGATGCACGAGATATCAAGATATTAAGTTATTAAGCTTCCAATCACGTTAGGAATGCAAGCGCCCTCCAACCTTAATCATCATAATGATTTTCGTCATAGGCTCGAGTGTGCATGTTTTGAATGTCATTTACTGTCTGTTCAACATAAATGCAGATGAAGTGAAACTTAGAGACATCAATTCTTATCCACGATTGTGTAATGTCGTTTCAAGTACTGAAAAATCTATTCAGAAGACATGGCGACCTTTGTTCGGCGTTTACCTCTTGGAATGTGGATATTACTCAACACGTATTTCAGCATATTCCTTGATTCGAGGCGCAATCCATTGTTCATCTTTGTTACGTTTTAGTGATACAATGTGACTTTATTTTTCGAGATTCTATAAGTTTTTGTTTTTTCAGGTTGCTGAAATAACATTTAATTTGTGGTATCGACTATCTGAGGAATTGTATCAGAAGAATAGTGAGCCTTTAATTTCAATGTTTAAGCCTTATGTTGAACGTTTGATTGAATCTCTCTGTAGACATTGTGAAATGGAACCAGATCATGTAAGTTTGTATAAAAAAGTTGTGTAACAAAATTACATTGTGTGCGGTATTGACCTTTTTATTTTATTTTATAGGAAGGATTGTTAGAAGATGGGGAAGACTTTGCAGATTTCCGAGTAAAAGTTTCAGAGCTTATAAAGGACGTTGTCTTTATAGTTGGTTCATCTAACTGTTTCAGACAAATGTTCTTAAGTTTACAACAAACAAATGTAACATGGCATTCGAGTGAAGCTGCTTTATTTGTCATGCAGGCTGTAGCAAAAAATATTTTACCGTAAGTTATAGTCAGTTTTCAGGCATATTTGCAAGTTCATGAATGTGGATTTTATGATCTTTGCATGATCTAGTAATGGAACTGTTTTTGCATGGTTTTTATTTTGTTTGTGTGTGTAAATAAACTCTGTAGAGAATAAATAATACGAAGTGTATCAGTTTAGCCGTCAATTCAGTTTTCGAATTGGATATTGGAAAATCATTATTTGTTAGTATTTTAAAATGTTGACAGAAAATGGATATTTTGTTTAACGTCTGCATTCACATTTGATACATTCACAGTAACGATCTTTTTTAGACACCAAATACTAAACCACAAACTAACTGAACTGGGTTACCTAAGATAAAATGTTCATTTCAAATGCTTAAAACTTACCAAGTAGTGTTGCTGTTAAAGCTTCGAAGTAACAATACAGATTAGGGAGATCATTTCAAAACACACAAAGATGTGAAAATATTAATATGTAAAGGTGATTAATCTTTACTTCAAAACATCATAACCTCGTAGAGATCTCGCAGATTCGGCGCCTTAATGCAATAAAAAATGTCATCACGCACAATCATTTAAATATTGTATTAAACAGTAAAAACGTGAAGATTAAGTTCAGATATCACCTGTTTCTTGTTCATATTAGTTTGTAATTCCCTGCGCAAAATAGCCTATGGAATTTGACGCGACATCACAGCTGGAGCTGTGTGCTGCTAACGGTTGGCCAGTTAACGAAACATGCACATAGCATTTGGCTTTCATTTTTGTAAATCAATCCTCGCAATTTTGAGAGATTTAATGCACTATCTAATTGGCGCACGAATTAGAAATTCACAAGCTTAGATGTAATAGGAGGCAAGGAGAACTAGAGGCCTGGCGGCAAATTCAAAATGCGAAATACACTATAATGTGTTAACAGTTTCAAATGACGATTCGACTGATTTGATTGAGAGTCTGCTTTAGCAAGTTGAAAGTGAGCCTAAAATTAATTATTTTTAGGTCAAGAAGTTCATGTTGACAATCTGGATAATTTGCATGTTATGGGTTAAACGAGCAACATAAATTCATGTAAAACCGTATTTTATGCACACACAAATTCCGCGTACTATTCATTGTAGCTTTAAATAAAAAGGAATGGAGAACTGTGTCCTTATTTTTGCGGGCGACCAAAATAATACTTTGTAACGGTTACATATTATTTGTAACGCTTTCGTAATATTGTAATATTTTTCTTCGTTATATAAATGTCTATATACTATTGATAACCAATGAGTTCCTTTTAAATTAAAGGCATTCTGCTTTAGTTCAAAAGTAATTTATTTTGCCTTTAAAATCTTCATTTTAATTCTGGAATTGGCAACGTTTCGGCTAAATGTGTTTTAGCCCACTTCTGGTCTATTCTGAAGAAAATATAGATAATAATAAATTCACAATTATTATACTGTTTATTATCTTTTAAAATTGTTTGAACCAAAATTCAGTTATTATAATTTAGAGAATTTTCAAATAGTACATTTTAAAGTATTCCTTTTTTTATAAGTAGACAGAAGCTTGCCTGCATTAGTAATACTAGTACGAATATACCAATTTTAACACTAGAATCAAATATTTACAACACTTAAATAGTGTAAGATGTACATCCTCAAATTGCCTCGAAACCATATCTCTGTGAGGCGATTTGGAGTCTTTTGTATTTTAACCGCCTAAGGGAAGGGGAATACTAAATCTCAAGGAAAAGGCACCGGGAAATATGATGTGAGAGAATGAGGCATTTAGTACCTATAAATTAATTTTAAATATCATATACAAGTAGTCCCACTAACTACGGGCTACTCCCGTAACTTCTACATGGTTCTCGATATGGAAGTACAGTTTTCACTCAACAATGCAGAACCATAGGGTAAGTAATGTGATATAGAGATATTGCTCGAAATATTTTTAATTTTCGAGAAATTTAATTATCTTTGATTTTTTTGAGTGGGACTATGTATTTTTCTCACTAGCAATAGATAGATCATAAATAAACAAATGCAACATCTGTTAATATTTTCAGTATAAAATTATACTTTCTGACTTGTGGTTTTAAATTAAATGTATGAGATTTCCTGTAGCAACCCTTGCAACTGTTGCCTTCGTGGCACCGGCACTTTAGCGGGGCGATGGGAGTAGCAACGAAGGCCACCTTCCCCAAAAGCGACAGTTGCGACAGGAAAACGTGTACCTTTAATTTAAAATCTATCAGAAAGTATGATTTTATACACAAAATAATATCAAAATATTAAGATGTTACATTAATGCATTCCTCTTTTTATGATCTATTGTTACTTACAAAAATATGTGGTTCTATTTAAAAAATCTGATTAAATTTCCCAAAAACAAAATATTTCTTACAATAACTCTACACCATTTCACTTGTCCCATGATTCCGCATTGTTGAGTGTCCTTTGTCTATCCGCGTTCTGTTCTGACACGTTCTGCAGTCGCTCTGCGCACTGAGTGCGTCAACAAAGAAACAATTGTTTATTCAAAACAAAAGCAATAATTGCCATAAATTAGTGTTATATGTTAAGAAAATGATAAATTATTCAATAAAATAATATTTTGTATTAATTTTATGGTTTATATGAAATTAACAATATAAAATGTATTGTATATGCCGATGTGGTACATACTGGAGATGAAATTGAGCGTAAAAAAAATTAAAGAAAATATACATTATATATTCTGACCACCCCCGCCATCACCTAAGATCCACTCAGATACAACAGTTGGGATGACAGAATGAATGCTAGTTATGAGCTTTGTGAACTCGGGGGGCAGAATCTTCGGGCGGCGGCGCACGCGGCCACGCGGCCGGCTCGTTGTGAAGCCACGGCACATGCACGAGTGCAAATTAATTAATTATATAATCACGGCGCGATGTTTCGCCACAATATATAAATTTCATCTAATTTTTGGACATTAAGCTCATGTGACAAATACGTTTTCTTACTGTCATGCGAGTTAAAATGAGTGATTCGATCCGTTAGTGACCCTATATACTGACGAACTTTGGGTATTGTTTCCCTCTTCAATTACTTTTTTCCCCCTCTGGTTTCTACATGAGATTGTCCTGTAGCAACTAGGGATCTTATTATAGTTATAAGAGAACGGTTGGTAATGCCATGGATATATGAAAATGCTTTGATTTTTTTGCAACATTTCTTTCTTAACGACCTATGTTCTTCAACGGACGATCATAAAATAAGGTCATGAACAATTTCTCGAAAATATGAATAGTGTTCGAGTAATTTTGCGCGAAATATTTTAATTTTTTAAACATTTTTCTAAAAATCTGTTCCTCCAAAAAAACTCAGAATCAGTAAAAAATATGATGCTAGTACCATTTTCGGCAACTCTCTGTTGTTTGGAAAAGTGCAACAATCTAACATTTCAGAAATACTAAATTCAAAGTAACGATGTTTGCCTTAGAGTTTGTTGTAAAAAGTCAGCTCATTAAAGAATATAATATACATTTTTTTAAAAACTCTAGTTGATTTCGCATATTTATATCTGAAATATATGAAATTTCTAAACAAATCTTCAATATTGTTTTTTTTTAAATTTTAATTTGGAATGATAATTTTTTACGTTTTTTGGCAATAGTGCGTTCGACGAAAAAGGGAATTTGCCCTCTTGCACCTTTTTATCATTTTTTCTTACAGACGAGGGAAAATTTAAAGAACAAAATTGGAGTCGTTTTTCACAAAATATTCGTTTTAAAATTGGCGGTATTTCACTCAACATTACACAAAACTATTCATACTTTCGAAAGATTGTACAAGAGCCGATTTCAAGATCTACTTTTCAAGAACAGATTTCATGAAGGGAAAATATCTATCAACAGTACTGTAGCTGTACGACACCGAAAACAATTTTGAACTTTTGCAATTTTCGAAAAATCAGGGATTTTAAGAAAATGAGATATGCACCATTATCTTACGGGTCCTTTACTCTAACCGAGGAAAAAGGTTTAATAAAACAATTTAGGGCCATATTTGAAAACTTTTTAAATGTTGACATACAATGTAGGCTTTCACGGCCGGTTTCCATATCAAAATAACGCGGCGCTGCCAACAAGGACACTTCGCCCCCGCCAGCAACGCCACTGAGGATGCCTGCCACAGCTGCAGGCGAAACGTATGGACAAGTCTCCATTGGACCACGGCCTTCAAGCCCGGAAACAACTGATTTTGATTTTTAAATGTTGATTCTTCATGCAAAGTATCTATCAAAATATCCATTTTTATACAAAGCAAATAATCAGAATATGCATTTTTAACTAGCCGGGCCTCGAGTTTGTTCAGATAGATCCGAGGAAAATCAATTTTGGAGATTATAGTCTCAACGTTGTAGACGCTAACGTTGGACACAGACACCTTTTTGCCATCAATCGACTTTTCGGTATTAAGGACGTAGAAAACGGATTCTAACTACACTTTTGACTTTTCCGTATACATACGTATATACGGAGTAAAATACCTAGTTTAGGGAAAGTTATGTAATGCTGCGCGAAAAAATGGCAATTTTCGGCAGAAAAAAATCATTTCCGGGTACTGATAACGAAAAGTGGATCAAACCAGTTACTAAATCAAGAAAAATAGTCTAACACGTGGTGTAGCGAAAATCCCTGTTTTGTGAGTCATTGATACCTAAACATCAATTGACAGCAAAATGTCCGTCAGTCCATATGTGAAGCGCCAAAACCGTGTGTAGATTTCTTTCCAAATTGAAGAAACCCCCTGTCCATCAGGCTCGAGACGAAGCTTTGAGATTTTGAAGAACATTTTTTAAAATTTCGAGGTACTTTATATTTAGCCTCTGAGACATTTTCAAAATTTTCTCAAAATTGCCTTAAATTTTTTCTTTGAATTTCTTATAAGAATAGAGTAACGAACACTTATAACAGTGGTACAGATCCGATTTTCACGGTTAACTCAGAATATTTAAGTAATTCCAAAAGTCTGATTTTGTCGGCGTCTTCCTAGAACTACAAAATTGAAGAAAGAGGTTTTTCCTTCAAATTAAATTTGTTGTGCATAATTATTTCATTGTCGTGTCCTTTTTTTGGAACTTATAGTAGTTTTCGCGCAATATTGCGTGCAATATATTTTGCACCAATTTGTAAACGCTATTGTATTTGTGAGTTAATGTTCGTTAGATGACGTCTAATTAAGTTTTTCGAAAACTCAAAAATTTTCTGTGGAAAAGAGCTTAAAATTGCAAATTTACAATTGCGCATAAACGCAATTTTCATAAACACTGCTCCAAGTTTAAAAACAAAATGCTTTTTAGGTCAGTGTTTTACTGTTTAATATTCTTAAAATAATATTTCCGTTAGGAAGGAAACCGAAAAATGTTGTTTTATTTAGTCAATAAAACAGTAAAAACTGTGAGCAAAGAGCTAAAAACAATACAAATATACAATGTGAAATATTAACAGATTGGGTATTGTATACAAGATGCGTAAGCAAACTGGATCGTATATACCTTGCAGCTTCTGGGCCGAAAACAAAGTTCTGCGAATTTTTGAGCGTGTGTCTTGTTTAA